CAAAAAAAAAAAAAGAAATTACATACGCAAAATATTGCGTATCTTTTAAGTCACTTTTTTTTTTTTTTTTTTAAGGCAAGTTCTGCTGTCACCCAGGTTGGAGTGCAGTGGCATGATCATAGCTCATTGTAACCTGGAATTCCTGGCCTCAAATGATCCTCCCACTTCAGTCTGCCAGAGTGCTGGGATTACAGGCAGAAGCCACCTTGCCCGGCCCTTAAGTCGCCATGTTTTTAGTACTGTATATTCTACCTTGTTTCCACAGTTCTAAGGAAAGATCAGCCACAATGAGGAAAGATCAGTCACAAATACGTAATTTGTGTTATATATCATTACAGAAAACATGAAAACCGCAGATGTATACTAGTTGGTATGGTTAAAAAAATTATTGTGCATGCATGCAGTGCGTAAAATGGTGCCATTTTACATTGAGTACTTTGGATATCTGGAAAAAAGCATGTATAGGTGATTCACTTTATGTAATGTTATGCATATATCCAACAGAAAGGCAAGTCTTAAGTGGTTTTCACAAAAATGTGATCAGAGCTCCTCTCCACATGTTAGGATTTCAGGGGCCTTCTTTCTTCTACAAAACTTACTATTTAAGTTTTTCCACAATGAAACATTTTTCAAGTGTTTTTGTAAATAAATTAACGCTTTAAATTTTGGTATTTTCAGGCCTGAAAGTACACTGAAATACTTTTTCCCCTCTTACCACCCAAAAAAAACCTTCAGTTTTTTTTTTTTTCCCAAGACAGGGTTTCAGTCTGCCATGCAGGCTGAAGCGCAGTGGTGTGATCTCTGCTCACTGCAACTTCCACCTCCTGGATTCAAGCAATTCTCGTTCCTCAGTCTCCTGAGTAGCTGGGACCACAGCTGCCGCCCGCCACCACGCCCAGCCAATTTTTCTGTATTTCTTAGTAGAGATGGGGTTTTACCATGTTGGCCAGGCTGGTCTTAAACTACCGACCTCAGGTGATACACTCGCCTTGGCCTCCCAAGGTGTTGCGATTACAGGCATGAGCCACCACGCCCAGCCAACTTCACTTTCATTTAATGAACTCTCTTTACCAAGAACTGTGCTAAGTGCCCTACTTTTCTTCTTTCGTTATCATAACAACCCTATGATGCTCTGAGAAAACTTCGGCTAGCGCGGGTGAACCTCCTAGCTGAAGGATACATAGCTCATAACCTGCTCTAAACCCCAGGGCCTCAGTACCGAAGCCTCTCTCTTTCAGTCCTTCACGTTTATAACCAAACTAATGATTGACTTGGTGGTAAAATGGGGAGAAAAACAAAAATCCAAGCAGTAACTTCAGGTTTAACATTATGGTTGAAGACTTTGATTTGTTTCTTTTCCGTCTGTTTTCTACTTTTTTTGTTTTGAGACAGAGTCTCCCTCTGTCTCCCAGGCTGGAGTGCAGTGGCACGATCTCGGCTCACCGCAACCTCTGCCTCTTGGGTTCAAGCAATTCTCCTGCCTCGGCCTCCCGAGTAGCTGGGATTACAGGTGTGCGCCACCACGCCCAGCTAATTATTTTTATATTTTTTAGTAGAGACGGGGTTTCACCATATTAGTCAGGCTGGTCTTGAACTCCTGACCTTGTGATCCGCCTGCCTCGGCCTCCCAAAGTGCTGGGGTTACAGGCATGAGCCACCGTGCCCAGCTGTTTTCCACTTACTATATACTTACATTTGCAAAAAGAGTAACCTGGGCAGACGTAGTCGCTCATGGCTGTAATCCCAGCACTTTGGGAGGCTGAAGCGAGAGGATATCTTGAGCCCCGGAGTTTGAGGCTGCAGTGAGCTGTGATTGCGCCACTGCACTCCAGCCTGGACAACAGAGTGAGACACTGTCTCAAGAAAAAAGAATAAATTTAGTTATTATACCTATGGCAAACAGAATTTGAGTTTTTGTTTGTTTGTTTGTTTTTTGAAATAGTTTTGCCCTTGTTGCCCAGGCTGGAGTGCAATGGCACAGTCTTAGCTCACTACAACCTCCGCCTCCTGGGTTCAAGTGATTATCCTGCCTCAGCCTCCCAAGTAGCTGGGACTACAGGCATGCACCACCACACCCAGCTAATTTTTTGTGTTAGTAGAGACGGGATTTCACATGTTGGCCAGGCTGGTCTCAAACTCCTGAGTGATCCACCAGCCTTGGCCTCCCAAAGTGCTGGGATTACAGCCGTGAGCCACTGTGCCCGGCCTTAGGTTGAGTTTTACAAACTTTGGTTATACCTAAAGATGAAAGTGAAATAAACAAGATGAGTCAGAAGGTGGACAAAGGGAGCTTCTATAGGGAGTGGTGCATGTACAACGAAACCATAGATGTTAACATTTTAGCATGTGTTCCAATAAATAAAAATAAGATACAGTCCCTTAAGTAATTCCCTTGTACACAATACATACCCATGTTGCTTGGTCTTTTTATGTTGTGTAATTGATGAATGTGGTTGTGATTGATCTTTGCTTACTGGTTTATGTGTCTCTCTAGAAGTGGAATTGTAGGAGCAAGATGAATACAGAGAGAGAGTGGTAGAGGGAGACTATAAATTTGTTTGTATCGATTAAGTTCCCTCTTAGAAATCTGTACTTCTTCTCTCCCATACTGTGTAAGAGTTGTCTAGTGGCCCAAACTTACATGTGAAAAGTTTACGATTTGTTAAAATCTCTAACATATTTGAGAGTACAGAGATGTCAGAGTTTTCTCTCTTACTACTGATTACGGTTTCCCTTGGCTTCATATACTTTTGTCATTTCTGATGAATGACATATCATCTGCTTAGTTCATTTTTCCCTCTTAATTCTCTGTTTCTAAAGTTTGTTTGAAGGGGGGTGGTCGTGTGTTACTGGAGGGGTTTGCTTATTTCTTTGTTGGCCTCTCCTTAGGTGTACCTCTTGTCTGGTTCTGTTCCTGTTCTTTGTGGCCCTGCCATAGCTTCCAGCGGATGAATGGTCCATAAAATGCATCATTTTCATTTTGGCCCTGGGCCTTTTTGGGTACTTTTAGAAGTACCATGTCTTAAGTCTCTTTACCTTTGGGTTCCTATTCAGTTTATGTGAGGTTTCTATAATCTCATTTCACCACTTCATGATGTTCCATACCTGCTTTAACTGTTTCCTTAAAATGTCTTCACTAACTCAGTAATAATTTTGAAAAGTTATTTTGTGTCTTTTCTTAACATTTAGGATCTAAAGTCTGTGTTAATCTCTGGTATTATGTGTAAGAGAAACTTTTGGAGTCCAAAAACCCCCTTCATCTTTCTAGCTTAGGTTTTTCTCTCTGAAGCATCACTATTTTGAAGGTAGTATAAATAGATTTTAATTGCATGGTGAAGAGCCAATCTCAAAGGAAATTTTAATATCAGTGTGCCATCCATTCTACTTATTCCTCCTCCCCTCCATGAACTCTCTTTTTCTCCTGTTTTACTCAAGAAAACAGTAAAGAAGGAGGGCCTCTAGTCATATCTTTCATCACCCACTCTTCTTGTCACTTCCTTCTCCCAACTTTTCTCCTTGAATGTCTGGTGTCTTCTGCCTTCCCTCTTTCCCTTTTGTCTGGCTAACATCTTTTATTTTTATTTTAATTTAGAGATAGCGTCTTGCCTTATTGCCCAGGCTAGAGTTGAGTGGCTTTGTCATAGCTCACTGCAGCCTCAAATTCCTGGGCTCGAGTGATCCTCCCACCTCAGCCTCCTGGGTAGTGTATGCCACCTGGCTAATTTTAAAATATATTATAGAGACAGGGTCTCGTCATCTTTCCCAGGCTGGTCTCAAACTTCTGGGCTCCAGCCATCTTCCCCGCCTCTGCTTCCCAAAGCACTGGAATTACAGATGTGAGCCACTTCGCTGACATGTTTTAGATCTGATTCTCAGCTTTAACATTATTTTTTTTTGAGACAAGAGTCTCGCTCTGCCGCCCAGGCTGGAGTACAGTGGTGCGATCGCCACTCACTGCAACCTCTGCCTCCTGAGTTCGAGCGATTCTCATACCTCAGCATCCTGAGTAGCTGGGACTACAGGCATGTGCCACCACGCCTGGCTAAATTTTGTAGTTTTAGTAGAGATGGGATTTCACCATGTTGGCCCCACTGGTCTCAAACTCTTAACCTCAGGTGGTCCGCCTGCCTTGGCCTTCCAAAGTGCTGGGATTACAGGTGTGAGCCACTGTGCCTCCTGGCCATCATTTTTAAGAACTTCCTGAACAATACTGATCGATACAGGGAAACCGAGTGGTGGGCACAGGTGGGTGGGTTGAGGTGGTGGGACATGTTGATGATAAAGGTACATACTTAGAAAATGTCTCACTTGAGAAAAATGTCTCAGAAGTATCATTTGTACTCATAAAAATCAGTCAATAGCCGAAGCAGTGGCTATGATGATGACCACACATATAAAACATGAGTTAGGTACAAACTCGTTTCCATCATACTTTCTAAATGTTAACTATAGCTGTTATGCTGGTTCATGATTGTTGCTTTATTTACTCATCTTTTTGTGGCTTTTGACATTCATCTCTCTCTGGCTCAGTAAATGTTTATTGACTGAATTTTTTTTCTTTTTCTCGAAATGGAGTCTTGCTCTGTTACCCAGGCTGGAGTGCAGTGATGCAATCTCCACTCACTTCAACCTCTCCCTCCCGGGTTCAAGCAATTCTCCTGCCTCAGCCTCTTGAGTAGCTGGCACACACCACAATGCCCGGCTAATTTTTTGTATTTTCAGTAGAGATGGCGTTTCACCGTGTTGGCCTGGATGGTCTTGAACTCCTGACCTCAAGTGATCTGCCTGCCTTGGCCTCCCAAAGTACTGGGATTACAGGCGTGAGCCACTGCTTCGGCTATTGACTGATTTTTATGAGTACAAATGATACTTCTGAGACATTTTTCTCAAGTGAGACATTTTCTAAGTATGTATCTTTATTATTATAAAACATTTCTTTTAAGAAGGTATTAATTCTTGGCACCATGTTAATTTTTATGAATGCTTTTATACCTATCCAGGACCCCTCGTCCAGTCATTGTGGAACCCATGGAGCAGTTTGATGATGAAGATGGCTTGCCAGAGAAGCTGATGCAGAAAACTCAACAATATCATAAGTAAGATTCTATTAATAGTTAATTTGTGTGTGTACTATTAAGGGTGTTCATTACATTTGTTTTCAAATATTGTTGGATTATGAGGTGTCTGTTTATTTATATAATCTGGGTAATAGAGTGGTCTAGTCTACATGGAATGCTAGTTTTCTGGTTTTTTTTTGAGATACTGTCTTGCTCTGTTGCCCAGGCTGGAGTGCAGTGGTGTGATCTTGGCTTCCTGTAATCTCTACGTCCCACATTCAAGTGATTCTTGTGCCTCAGACTCCCGAGTAGCTGGGATTACAGGCATGCACCACCATACCTAGCTAATAGTTTTCTTTTTTCATATGGGTAAAACATACTGATTTTTTAAGAAATGTCTACTTTTATAACTGGGGCAGGGTGGGTACTAGGACACTGTCAATAATATTTATGCCAGAAAAACAACGAAATCTAGATAACGTGAAAATACTTTTTTTTTTTGTTTTTTGAGATGGAGTCTTACTCTTGTCACACAGGCTGGAGTGCAGTGGCGTGAACTTGGCTCACTGCAACCTCCACCTCCCGGGTTCAAGTGATTCTCCTTCCTCAGCCTTCCAAGTAGCTGGGATTACAGGCGTGTGCCACCACGCCCGACTAATTTTTTCGTGTTTTCAGTAGAGATGGGGTTTCACCATGTTGGTCAGGCTGGTCTTGAACTCCTGATCTTAGGTGATCTACCCGCTTTGGCCTCCCAAAGTGCTAGGATTACAGGCGTGAGCCACCACGCCCAGCTGAAAATACTTCTTAAGTTTTATTTTATGCTTCAAGTCTATTGTAGGTTAAAAGGAGACTTTTGGTGTGCCAGGATGGAGCAGGATATTCCTAGTTTAATAACCTGGCACAGTGGAAAAACTTTTAGAGGTTGCAAAAAATAGCTCATTTTCAAAATGTTGTATGTTTATTCTTTTGCCCTTTCACTTAGAATAATACAAGTATATTTACATTAACTGCTTATATGAGTGCATTCTTTTTAAGTTTATAAAGCTTTATTAAACATTTCAAATAGCTGTGCAACGAACACACCAAATAAAAGTTGTAGAATAGCAGTCCAAATGTTTCACAAGTATGGCCTCACAGTCCCATTCCCTAGATGGACTGCCTCCAGTTCTGTTCTCTGCCTGTCCCACCTCCCTTTCCCCTCCAATTACTTTACTTTTGTAGAGCGCATTATATTTTTAAAAATCAGTCACTTATTTATTTTTTTTTTGCAGGGGAGGAATGAAGGGTTTTATTGAAAATGAAAGTACACTCTGCAGTGTGGGCCTGAGCATAGGGGCTCGAAGGCCCTGTTACAGAGTTTTTGTGAGTTTAAATACCCTCTACTTGGGGTATGCCCTGTGTAAATGAAGAGGATGAAGTAAAGTTACAAAGTCATTTACTTGGTGTATGCCCTATGGAGAGGATATTTCCTGTTATAGCTGAATTGTGAATTGGCCTTCTGTTCCCTGCTTCCAGACTCTATTTTCTTGCCTCATCTCCCCACTTAGAGATGTGATCCTCATAAATCTTTATGGGAGGCAGAGGAACCAATGGTCTTTTTTTCTGTAACTGCTTCATGCTGACTTGGGTTGTAGTCTCTACCTATTGGGGATCACAGAACTCTCGCCCTGCTCCATCTAGTGGAGGCAGGGTAGCTTCTCGATGGCTAGGGGTGGTGTCTTCGCCTGGAACTGGCTGGAACCTTTGTTGCATGATCATCTGAAGCTTGATGGTCTCTCAAGGGTTCCAGTGGGTGCACAGTTCCAAAAGTGTGGAGGGACCCTTTTCATTTGTGAGACCATGAACCCAAAGTTCAAGGTCCCAAAGTTTTGTTGTAGTGTGGATGGCAAGGACGGTCTTTCTTTCTTTGTTTTGAGATGGAGTCTCACTCTGTTGCCCAGGCTGGAGTGCAGTGGCGTGATCTCAGCTCACTGCAGCCTCTGCCTCCCAGGTTCAAGCGATTCTCCTGCCTCAGCATCCCAAGTAGCTGGGAGTATGGGCGTGTGCCACCATGCCCAGCCAGTTTTTTTGTATTTTTAGTAGAGATGGAGTTTCACCATGTTAGCCAGGATGGGCTCAATCTCCTAACCTTGTGATCCGCCTTCCTTGGCTTCCCAGAGTGCTGGGATTACAGACGTGAGCCACCATGCCCGGTGACTGTCTTTCTTTGATGTTTCCAGAAGATTCAAACCATAAAACACTTTCTTAGGGCTGGGCGTGGATTACACCTGTAATCCCAGCTACTCAGGAGGCTGAGGCAGGAGAATTGCTTGAACCAGGAGGCAGAGGTTGTGGTGAGCCGAGATCGCGCCACCACACTCCAGCCTGGATGACAGCGAGACTCCGTCTCAAAAAAATAAAAGCGTTGTTTACCCTTTTGCCAACATGCCAGGCTTCTAGGTTCTGTCTCCCTGAGCGGTCGTAGTGAACCTGCTTGACTTCCTCCTGGCTGGCTCACCAAAATATGGTACCAGTGGAGAGTGTCCAAGTTCTTGGCATCTTGAACAAAGAATTGGACAAAATGCCCAAACAAAGCAAGGAAGGAATGAAGGGTTTTATTGAAAATGAAAGTAGCACTCCACAGTCTGGGAACGGGCCTAAGCATAGGGACTCAAAGGCCTGCTTATTTATTTTTTGAGAGTGTCACTTTGTTACCCAGGCTGGAGTGCAGTGGTGCAGTCTCAGCTCACTTCAACCTCCACCTCCCAAGTTCAAGTGATTCTTGTCCCTCACCCTCCTGAGTAGCTGGGATTACAGGCCTGCGCCACCACACCCAGCTAATTTTTGTATTTTTAGTAGAGATGGGGTTTCACTATGTTGGCCAGGCTGGAGTCAGAACTGCTGACCTCAGATGATCACCTGTCTTGGCCTCCCGAGGTGCTGGGATTACAGGTGTAAGCCACTGCGCCCGGCCCACTTATTTATTCCATAAATAAAACTTGGAGTGCCTTTGTGTTAGCCACTGTTCTAGGTGTTGGCAGTGTAAGTCAAGCAGGTAGTTGGATTTATACCTAGGATTTAGAGCAACCGTCCTGCCTGGATTTATGAACATGATATTTTTAAAGTCAAAACACCAAACCTTGAACCTTGGAGTTCTCTAGTGTGTAGAGATTTGGAAGATCAGAACAAATCAATAACGACTGAGAAGGGAGCATTCATTCATTGGAATGGCGGGAAGAGCCATCAGACTCTGTCCTGGAAGCAAGGGAGGAGAGTATTTCAGGGAGGAAGCATTAGCATTAGCATTGATTATAATTCATATCTATTCTTTTTTTTCTGGAGACGGAGTTTCACTCTTATTGCCCAGGCTGGAGTGCAATGGCACGATCTTGGCTCACCGCAACCTCCGCCTCTCAGGTTCAAGCAATTCTCCTGCCTCAGCCTCCCTAGTAGCTGGGATTATAGGCATGTGCCACCACGCCTGGCTAATTTTGTATTTTTAGTAGAGACGAGGTTTCTCCATGTTGGTCAGGCTGGTCTCGAACTACCGACCTCAGGTGATCCACCCACCTCGACCTCCCAAAGTGCTGGGATTACAGGCATGAGCCACCGCGCCCAGCTTTTTTTTGTTTTTTCTTTTTTTGAGATGGAGTTTCGCTGTTGTTGCCCAGGCTGGAGTGCAGTGGCGCGATCTAGGCTCACTGCAACCTCCGCCTCCCAGGTTCAAGTGATTCTCCTGCTTCAGCCTCTCAAGTAGCTGAGACTACAGGCACACGCCACCATGCTCAACTAATTTTTGTGTTTTTAGTAGAGACAGCGTTTCACTGTGTTGGCCAGGTTGGTCTTGAACTCCTGACCTTGTGATCCGCCTGCGTCGGCCTCCCAAAGTGCTGGGATTACAGGTGAGAGCCACCACACCCAGCCTAATTAATATCTATTCTTACATCCTTTACAATGCGATTTCTCTCTCTTTTTTTTTTTTTTTTTTTGAGACAGGGTCTGGCCCTGTTGCCCAGACTGCACCCAGTGTAGTGGTGTGATCATGGCTCAGTGCAGCCTCTACCTCCTGGTCTCAAGTGATCCTTCCGCCTCAGTATCCCCTAAGTAGCTGGGACTACAGATGTGGGCCCATCATGCCCATCTAATTTTTTAATTTTTTTGTAAAGACAGAGTTTCGTCATGTTGCTCAGGGTGGTCTAGAACTCCCGGGCTCAAGTGATCTTCCCCCATTGGCCTCTCAAACTGTTGGATTTACAGGTGTGAGGCACTGCACCTGGCCACAATGCCATTTTTTAAAGGGTTCCTGTGATTTCCTCTTCACTTAACTTTTTCCTTGTTATAGGTCACCATTGCAAATTTGAAATAAAGCATACGTTTGGATTTGGGAGTTGGAGAACTAGAAGTACAAGGTTGTTACAAGAATAGACTTTATAGACAATATTTGTTTATATAGTTAATGATCTCAGCAAACCTTAATAAGAGCTAGTTATGGCTGGGCATAGTGGCTCACGCCTGTAATCCCAGCACTTTGGGAGGCCGAGGTGGGTGGATCACCTGAGGTCAGGAGTTCGAGACTAACCTGGCCAACATGGTAAAACCCTGTCACTACTGAAAATACAAAAATTAGTCCGACGCGGTGGCACGCACCTGTAATCCCAGCTATTTGGGAGGCTGAGGCAGGGGAATCGCTTGAATCCGGGAGGTGGAGCCGAGATTGCGCCACTGCACTCCAGCCTGGG